GTACCTAATTATTCTAATCCCATTTTCCAACACTTGGTCCACAGCATTGCATGTCTTAGCATCACAAGTGCATATCTAAACACTACTTAAATGTTATGAGGGTTTCTGCCTTTACTACCCTAACAGGCAGTGAGTTCCAGATTCCCACAACCCCTGGTTGAAAAGGTTTTCCCTCATAATTCCTCTAAATTGTCTGCCTTTTACCTGAGATCTATGCTCCCAGTCATTGATCCTTCCATCAGGAGAAAACATTTCTTCCTGTCTACCTTATCAATGCCTCTCATAATTTGATGCGCCTCAATCTCCTCTGCTCCAAGGAAAACAACCCCAATCTATCTTCTTCATAACTGAAACTTTCCGGCCAATGCAACATTCTGGTAAATCTCCTCTTCCCCCTCATCCTCTCCAGTGCTATCACACCCTCCAAAGCTTGGATTCCAAGACTGCACAGAATATTCTAGCTGCGTCTAACCAAAATTTTATAAAGGTGAAGACAAAGTTGCCATGGCCCTGTCAGACTACAGAGCTACTTTTTCATTAGAAAGAGATAACTGGTGATTTAACCTAAGGGTCACCATGCCTCAGGCAAGGAAAGAGGTTGAGAAGGAGAATTGAATACACACTATGGCGCCAGTCTGCGCGGCAAACCAGCTGTCCAGCCAACTGAGCTCAATTACCTCTTGTAAAATCCCCGCTGTTCAACTCAGTGCTTCAACTAATGCCTTCTTAACCATTTTATCTACTTGTTTTGATACCTTAAGGGACTGGTGTACATGCACACCAAGGCCCTTCTGATCCTAGATGCTTCCTAGGGTTCGATCATTCATTATGTATTCCCTTGCCTTGTTTGTTCTGTCCAAATGCATCACCTCATACTTATCCAGATTGAATTCCATTTCCGCCTATCTGACCAGACTGTCTATATCCTCTTTACAGTCTAGGGCTAACCTCCTCACTATTTACCGCCACACCAATTTTTATGTCACCTGCAAACTTACTGCTCAACCCTTGTACATTCATGTCTAAATCATTTATATATCCACAAACAGCAAGGGTCCCAACACTGAACCTTGTGGGACCCCATTGGACACAGACTTCCAGTTAGAAAAAACACACCTCAACCATCACCCTCTGTTTCCTGCTACTCAGCCAATTGTGAATCCAATTTGCCATATTTTCTTGGATTCAATTGGCTCTTACCTTTGCTAACAGTATCCCATGTAGGGCCTTATCAAAAGCCTTGCTGAATTCCAAGTAGACTGCATCAGAAGCATTGTCTTCATCTACACATGGGGTCACCTCTTCGAAAAAATCAATCAAGTTGGTCAGACATGACTTTCCCTTAACAAAACCATTGGACTGTCCAAATGCAGATTAATTCTATCCCGCACAATTGCTTCCAATAGTTTCCCCACTATCAAGGTCAGACTGACCGGCCTGTCTATTCTTGCTTCCTTCTTGAATAACACTATTACATTGACTGTCCTCCAATTCTCTGGAACCGTTGCTGTGAGCAGAGGGGAAATGAAATCTTCTAGGCACTCCTGCAATTTTCTCCCTTGCCTGACTCAAACACAAACTGGGATACATTTCATTGAACCCTTGAAATTTTATCTACTTTTAAGTCTGTCAGACTATTCAGAATTTCCTCTCTGTCTATCCTAATTTCTTTAATTATATCACAGATTTTCTCCCCAGTTTCTATGTCCATATTGGCCCTCTAACTAGTGAGCGCTGACCCAAAGTATTCATTTAGAACCCTACCTTTGTGCTCAGGCTCCAAGCATACATTATTATTGCGATCATCAAACATCGATCTATTCTGATCTCATTTTCCAGCATTTGGCCTGTAGTCTTGTATGCTATGGCATTTCAAGAGTTCATTTAATTAGTTCTTAAGTTCTTAGGAAGAGAATTTCAGATACCCACAACTAGAGTCAGAGTAATAGAGCTGGAGCACATGGAAACAGGCCCTTCTGTCCAACTTGTCCATACCGACCAGATATCTTAAATTAATCTAGTTCTGTTTTCCAGCATTTGGTCCATATCCCTCTGAACCCTTCCAATTCATGTAGCCATCCAGATGCCTTTTAAATGTTGCAGTTGTACCAGCCTCCACCACTTCCTCTGGCAGCTTATTCCACACATGCACCATTCTCTGCATGAAAATATTGCTCCTTAGGTCCCCTTTAAATCTTTCCCCTCTCATCTTAAACCTATGCCCTCTAGTTTTGGACTCCCCCACCTCAGTGAAAAGACCTTATCTATTCACCCTATTCATGTCTGTCATGATTTTATAAACCTCTATAAGGTTACCCCTCAGCCTCTGAAGCTTCAGGGAAAATAGCCCCAGCCTATTCAGCCTCTCCCTATAGCTGAAACCCTCCAACCCCGGCAACATCCTCGTAAATCTTTTCTGAGCCCTTTCAAGTTTCACAATATCCTTCCTGTAGCAGGAAGACTGGAATTGCATCCACTATTCCAAACATGGCCTAACCAATGTCCTGTACAGCCGCAACATGACCTCTCAAATCCTATACACAATGCACTGACCAATAAAGGCAAGCATACCAACACCTTCTTCACTATCACTGTGGGTGAATTTTCTTTTCCTCAAACTCCTTCCAAACCTTCTGTTCCTTGCCTAAAACTTGGAGCCCTTGGTTATTTTCCTGTCTACTAGGGGGAAAAGAATGCCTCCTTATATTCCCTGCCTATGTTCACTGCAATCAGATCCTCCCTCAGCCTTCTCTGTTCGAAGGAAATCTGTGTCAGGTGGTGATTAAAAGGTAATGTGGGACTCTTTGAGAAGAGAAGGGGAGTTCTTCCTGATGTCCTGGTTAATATTTATCTCTCGATTAACATCACAACAACCAACGTCACAAAGAAAAGAGAACATGTGGTCATTAGCACATAACTCTGTAGAGGAGTTTGCTGGATACCAATTGACTGACCACAAGCTGCCTACAGTTAGTTTCACAGCATTTGGGGAGTTTGAATATAAGTACATGGCTATAAATCTTCATATGGGACAAACAATTCGTGAATAGATTGTACACAATATTTCTATCTTTTTAGATCAAATCATGTTAATGATTTTGCTACAAGTAGCAGGATACAGGGAATGTTGGAAGTTTCAGTCATTAACCACATGGATTTCAAGTCAGAGTTGAATGAAATGGGAAACCATTAACAATCAGGTGGATCAGCTTCTGATGGAGAGGTTGTCTCCAAAGGATAGAAAAGCAAACAATAAAATCATGAACACTGTTTGTTCTCCGACTGTTATGTTAGCCAAATGTTATCAGTCTTTCAGTAGTGCAACAATAAGAGGGAAAGATGGAGGGGGCGTCTGGGAGTGGAGACCAGGCTCCACCCTTCACCATTCCTCCTGGAATTACATGTTGAAGAAAAGGAAGGGACCATTGATGGGAGTGCAGGTGAAGGCAAATTTGAGTTTCAAGTGATATGATTTCTTTTATATTTTGTATAGCACTGTATAAATCAGTCATCCAATATCCATTTCTTTCCAGTTACAGAATTAAGAGCCACAGGTATTTCCTCACAGAATACCCAGCCAATTACAGTCAGTGTGATTTTAGTGATTCTACTGACTGTGATCCTTGTTGCAGGATACATATTCTGCAGAGGTGAGAAATAATAGTGAAATAGTATTCATTTTTTGAATTGTTCACATTAGCTGTTTCTTTGTCTTGAAAGTAGTTATGTATTTCACCTTGAAGCGTTAATATTTTTACTAATGAATGAGCTACCACTTTGCACAGATTATAGCAGCAATATGCTTTGGTCATAATTAACAATAAAAGCAGACACTTTTCAGAATCTTTTCTCTCGGGGGTTGAAGCTTTCTTAGCATTAAAAGACTTTAATACATGCTAGTCTTTTATTGGGATATAGAACTAGGTCATTGAAACTACTGCATCGTATTGCTCAGTGTAGTTGTTTTAAATCCTAACTCCTATAGTTCCTTAATATTCCTTCCCTATCTTTTGGAATTTTTCTTCCTCTTGGATATTTGAGTTGATCTTGCATTTGTTGACTTCTGCAAGTGAGCTGTACATTTCCACACCTTTTTATGAAGAGGCTTTTATTGTTTTGTTTTTAATTGGCCTATTTACCAGCCTGAGCTGACCATGCTGATTTTTAACTCGGCCTGGCTGATAGAAAAGCTGCAATAGATGAGCCAAGAGTGGAGGAATGTGAGAAGGTGGGCACATCGAGGAAAATGCATTCCTATCCCACATCCACAAGACCCACCTTGTGTCTAGGCAGGCTGGCAAAGTCACCACCTCCCATTGCAAACTGCAGCAGGATACCCATCTAGAGAGTGTGGCTTGACTTAGTGAGGCTTGAAACTCAAACAGTGCCTTTTGCTAACATGATTTAGGCAGCCTGCTGGCAAGCTTTTTAAATAGAAAATTCAATGCGTAGAATAGTAAAGATGTATTTTCCTTTTTGTCTCTCAACATTTATATAGATTTTCATCATCCGTATAGAAAAGTGTTTGTGCATTCAAACCAGTCATCCAAAAGGTAGGAAAACATTTCAATTGTGGACAATTGTAGAAGCATTTAAAGCAAGGCAATACTTTGCTTTTTACTCGTCAATAGTGAGAGATTTATATCGTGTCGGTGTGCACTATTGACTTTGCTTTGGCCTGATATTAATTAGAAATTGTACTTCTCAAAGATTTTGTTTTGATATTTAATTTTAGAATTTGCATTGGATCTAACCTGATAGTATTTGGAAGTGTAACTTTCTAAACTGTGCCTTGATCTTTTTTGGGGCTGCTTGTTCCTCCATACCTGAAGAACCTTTCACTTGCCAGTTTGAATCCCTTTTAAAGAGAAGGTAGCGAACAATAATATATAACACATTAATTGAGCTAATACTGAGATTGATATTTAGATATTCAGCAATTCCAAGATTATTATGACATTCTTCTTGTAACACTGGTCATGGCATCATATTTGAGAAATTGATGAGCACAATGATGATCTTTGTTATTTATGAAAACATTCTTAAGCAGATAGTTTTTAACAGCCGGCATTAGAGTTCCCATTTGGAAAAATGTTTTACTCTCCAACAGCCCCAAGTTTCCACTTAAATTCTTTTGTATACTGGTGGACAAAAATTCTGCCATAAAATAATGTAGTCAGGCAGTGCTTTAAAATCTTTTAACCACTTAAATTTGTTTTAATATGTTTATATTATGGAAAAAAAATACTATGTCTCCATGCCAATTTGCCACCTGTGGGGAAAAAAACTGGATTTAAAATTACTGAAAACAATCTTTTTAAAAAACAAACTTTTTTTTAGCTGGGTTATAGTAAAGTAGTGAATGTTAAAAAATATTCAAAATGTATTATCATGCCTTAAAGATCCAGCTTTAATTTCAGAGGAGTCTGTTTAAGTCACATCTGATTTGTGCTTAAAATCCCATGGTCTTTTACTTCAGCCACAGCAATGTTTGGTAAAAGTACATTTGACAGGAAATTCAAGGCTATTAACTGCATTAGTATTTCACAGAAGTGTTGTTGATTATTATTCAGAACGTCTGTGGACATACAAGGAGCCTCTTCCCCCTGAAGGTTTTACCATCAACATGGAGCTAAGCAAAGATTTTGCTACACATCCCTGTGAAATGAAGAAAAGTTTACCCTGAGCTGCTTCTATGAAAAGAAGGCTTAGAACATTGAGCAGATATCCTACTATTTATTGGAGCAGACATTGCCCAAGATTATGGGTGCAACAGTTATTCTAGTTTTATCAGGAGCACACATAGAAAAGCTTCAATATTCATTTATGAAAAAATGGAAAGACAAATAAGCTTGAGACTAGATATTTTGTTGTTATACTCTTGAGAATGGACCAACTTTTTATTTTCAGGTCTAAACATATAAAGGTGCAGATAAATCCAGATGTAGCTAATTATTCAACTAGTATACTCTGAATTAAATGTATTATAGTGGTGCTTGCAGCTGTAGAACACATTGAGTGTTTTTCACCTTTTGTCCTTAGATTAGTGATTACTTGTTGCTTGTTGGTAGCTGTGGAGTTAAGAAACCTTTTTTTTGAATTCGTCCATGAATCTTAAGTGTTGATGTAAATCTGAGTCTAGATTCTGCATGGATTGGCATATCTTTGCCTAGTACAGAGAATTGGGGAGTTTTATTTTACTTGCACGAAGCCAATTGCATATTTTCTCATTCTCTAAAGTATTAATGACATAAATGGCAGTGTAAAATATGTTTAAGATGCTCGGGTATGGTTCCACTCTTCTGTCAAGTTGTACCAATTGTAAAAACTTGGAGTAGCAATTCTATACTTCTGTATAAGTATTTTGTAAATACCTTTGTGACAATCTATTCAGAAAAATAAACTGGCCAGTGTACAATGCTGAAATGAAAATATTTTAGGCTGTGACTTAATTCAAGACCAAAATAATTGAGCTGAGATATATTAAATATGTATCCATCAATATTTGTCTCCACTAGATAGTTTGAAATATCTATCAAAAGCAACTTGTACAATGATGTGTTTGCTAATGTGTTGATATTGAAATGATATTATTGAAGATGTACTGTTTGGTATTATAGTATATTTTATCTAAACGCTGTTTTATTTTAGGAATTTTCTTATTCAATGTTACAACATAAATTAAAACCAGTATTAGTGAATCAACAGCTAGAAACTGTGCAGTTTACAAGTGTATTTTGAAATCTGTTATTTTTTTACAATTATGTTTACTGGTAGAACTTATAGTCTCTTCTTTGAATCCTCTGGCTGAGAAACAGGTTTATAAAAGTTCTTGAGTGAAACAACACAAAATCTATGGAATGACAAAAAGATTGAATGTAATTTGTCAAATATCAAACTGATTTTTCGTAGGCACAGAATATTATAATGTCTAAGTGGATTTGGTTTCACTGAATATCCTGTTGTGCTCATGGTCACTGAAGTATTTGCTCTGTATGTATACATAAACTGACTCATTGACTCATTCTATATAATTAAAATGCATCTCACAATTTTCTACATGTATGAATTACAACTCCATCACAATTTAAAAAAAAATTTAAAAAATCTTATTTATTGAATTTCTGTCTTGCTATTTATTTGGTTGATCTTTGTGTGGCTGCTGAATATAGCTTTCTCTTGTTCTAGAATATTTATTCCAACCTGGAAGTGATAGTGAGAACTTTAAGTTGAGCAAAGTACACTCTGGTCTGAATCTTACCAGAAATTGGCTAAGTGTCATTTTTGACCAACTTCATGTTGAGTTTCTCTCCATGTGAAAGTATATTGTAAGGCCCAGCAGGCTGATCCATGCATTAGAACCTTATCTTCAGCAGATTGATTGTCTATCCCACCTTGGGCTGTATTATAACCACACATTGTCTCAGTTAAGGGGTTGTTTAACAGAGTCATCAGACATGGTCATTCTAAGGCAAATGGTCCTTAAAACACAGCAGGGATGTGAGTCCCAAGGGTATAAGCATTATAGTAGTGTCCCAGGGTACCTTGCTCATACTTCTAAGATGTTATATCAATTGGTGCAGATGACTTGCACATTGATCAGCAGAAGCTTTTCTATTGATGAACTCAGCTTTGTTATAGTCCTCTCAACACAACATGTGCCCAGTCTCTTGTATCCTGACCCTTGGGGAAGCCGGCTATGTTGGTAAAGCCTAGTGCCTAGGCTGCAGCACAGATTTTGTCGCAGTAAAATAAACCAAAATAATCACAGATAAAATGCATTGGTAAAAGCCCTGAAACATTTGTGGGTTGGCAATTGAGAAATCCCACACAGGTCCCCAGTGGATCCTTGGAAGAATCCTTTTGTATAAACATTTAAGAGCACTTGGACACCAGGATAAGATGGCCACCCACTCCATCAGGTTGCAGGTCCTGCTTACGGAGTTCTGTGAAAGTATTCTGAGACATCATCCATCCTGTGGTGTCATTGGGCCTCACTTAACTGAGGGGAATGGCATTGAAGATGAGATACTAGGCCTCCTGTGCCTTTTGAGGGCGCCTTCAACTGTGACCCCTTCCTGGGGAGGCTACTTGGCATCCACTGGAAGTTACTGCTTTTCCTGGGCTTGCTGATGCATTTGTTCCTTCACAATTTGTCTGCACCTTCCCCTGTGTCACAGCAACAGCAATAATATTAACTCCTGCTGTAGCTCAATCCATCATTCATACTAACAATGAAGTTGTGTGTGGGGAACTTAAGAAACAGAATAGATCCTTAGTAATGTGAACAGTCAGCATTTGCATTATTCACAAATGATGGTTTAGCACAATCCTCCGTAGAGTGGGACTTGGAGAACTCTGACAAGCAGGGCTATGGAATACTTTTACATGGACTGTTGATGTAGGACCTTTTTCTGACAAACTCAGCACCAGTCATGTCACGGAGAGACAGTGGGAGATTGTAAGTGCTGAGACCCTGTTCCTCCAAGCCCACCACTTAAGAAAGGCATCATAATGTACATGAGCATGTTGGTGAATACTTACAGTTCAAGGTGAAAGGGCATCAGTCCCATGTTCCTATGCACCCCAGAAATCTTGCTTTATTTTTGAATTTTGCTGCCTACAGGTGCCAATTTTAAGGTTACGTGTGATCACTTCAGCTTCACAGGCATTACTTTCTTCAATCTGCAAGAACCAAAGACATGGTCAAGATTGCTGGTGAACAGGATCTATTTCCCACACACAGTTACTCACTGCATAGTTTTCACATGCAGGATTCTATGATTACAGATAACTTTGACCTCTACCGTGGAAGTCCTGATTAATGCAATTGCCCCTTGAACAATCTCATATGACTCATACAGTCATAGAATCATAGAGATGTACAGCATGAAAACAGACTCTTCAGTCCAACTTGTCCACGTCAACCAGATATCCTAAATTAATCTAGTCCAATTTGCCAGCATTTGGCCCATATCCCTCTACAACCTTCCTATTCATATATCCACAGATGCCTCTTAAATGTTGTAATTGTACCAGTCTTCACCATTTCCTCTGGCAGCTCATTCCATACTCATACTACCTTCTGTGTGAAAAAGTTGCCCCTTAGGTCAATTTTAAATCTTTCCCCTCTCACTTAAATCTATGCCCTACAGGACTGTGCTACATTGGGGAAAAGACCTTGGCTATTCACCCTATCCATGTCCCTCATGATTTTATAAACCTCTATATGGTCACGTCTCAGCCTCCGATGCTCCAGGGAAAATAGCCCCAGTCTATTCAGCTTCTCCCTTTAGCTCAAACCCTCCAACTCCAACTTGAAAATCTTTTCTGAACCCTTTCAAGTTTCACAACATCCTTCCAATAGCAGGGAGACCAGAATTGTACACAGTATTCCAAAAATGGCCTAACCAATGTCCTGTATAGCTGCATCATGACCTCCCAACTCCTACACTCAATGCACCGACCAATAAAGGCAAGCATACCAAATGCCTTCTTCACTATCTTGTCTACCTGCGACTCTATTTTTAAGGAACTGTGAACCTGCGCTCCAAGGCCTCTTTGTTTGGCAACACTCCCCAGGACCTCACCATTAAGTGTATATGACCTGCCCTGATTTGCCTTCCCAAAATGCAGCACCTCACATTTATCTAAATTAAACTCCATTTGCCACCCCTCAGCCCATCTGATCAAGGTCCTGTTGTACTCTGAAGTAACTTTCTTGGCTGCCTACTACACCTCCAATTTTGGTGTCATCTGCAAACCTACTAACCATGCCTCCTATATTCGCATCCACTTCATTTATATAAATGGCCATGAATAGATTCATGGGCTCAAACAGCAAACAAAAATCCACAAACTCCACCATTCCAGGTGTGGTCACAGCCATTTTCCATTTGCAGAATGCATTTACAAGTCTCATGAATATGCTGGGCAAGGGTCATCGCACTTTGCACAGTGAGTCTCAGGCTCAGCCTGGTAATCAAGGGGACATCTGAACATCCAAGTCTTTTTCTTCCTGCAAGTCCATTTGTATTGATCCTCCACATGTTCTCATACACCGCATGGAATTACGGTTACAGCCCTCATCATTATCCCCTGAGCACTGGCCCTACAGTTTGGTTATGCCCACCTTAGAGTCTATGCTAATCAGCAAGACAAGGCAGAAGTACTGTGAGTCTTTAAGCTCTGACTTAGGGGGTAAAGCATCAAAAAAGCAATGCAGGGACGCAGTGAGTATCTAAGTAGGCACAAAGTAAGTGAGCACCAAGTGAGCAAGCAGTGCTGAGATGCACCCTGATCCAATCCATGAGGTCAGTGTTTGTCCTTGTGGGCAAAGTGTCCTTGTAGCAACATTCCAATGAAAGGTGCCAGTGCACTCAAAGTGCAATACTGAAGCAAATGGTGTGTTCAAACCCAAGGTAACTGCTCAGAATTCCATGTTGGGAATTCTCACATTTTCTCACTAGTTTCTATTCGGTGGGAGAGAGAATGAGAAATTGCATATTAATGGAGTGAAGCTAGGCAGTAATGAGGTGTTAAGGCATATTATTGAAAATGCACTGTTTAGTGTTATACTATATTTTATCTAAACATTGTTTTATATTAGGAATTTTCTTTTACAATATTACAACATATAGTAAAACCAGCATTAGTAAATCATGTAAAGAAGCTGTTGCTACTCACTAGCAATTTTGTCTCACCATTCAATGTTTGACTGCAACATGCGACTTCCTGCTCTTGATGTTGAGTAGCCCCTCACTGGGCATTCCACATAATTTTGCCAACTTTCACACCATTAAGCGTATTGTCCAGAGACGAGGAAGTTTCCGCCCTCTGTAGTGGAGGTTCCCAAATCTGAGGCACCTGTTTTACAAAATTTCAGGTGAATTAGCATGCATTGCACTATATTTCGGGAGCTGATCAGTTGTCTGATCAGGTGATTTGTGAAGCCATCAGCACAGGTTCAATTCTTACATTCACTGAGGTCACCATGAAGGTCATGCCTTTTTGAACTCTCACCTGGCCTGATGGTGACCATCAGGTTAAACTCAACACCAGTTCATCTCTCTCTAATGATGGAGGAGCTCTATGGTCCTCTGGGACCATGGCAACTATGAATTCTGCTACACTACAGGGAGGAGTGTGCAATGAGTCAGATTTGCTGTGAAATAGATTGGTTGGAATTCAGCATTAAGCAGTTTATGAGCGTTGCCAAGATCTCGGCATAAAACAGTGCAAAAGGAGACCGGTGAACACTTTGTGCTACAGTTGAAGGGTGAAGGAATCTCACTGCAGTACAGGGTAAGTGGGTCACAGTCTTTCTAAAGGGTTAGTATAGTTATTTCATCTTCTGGTTAATACAGGGAATTCAGATCAAGAGTAAGCTGAGGGGGTTATTTGTTAGAGAGTAATGATGGTAATTTTTAGGTAGCTAAGTAAAATTTAACTTGTAGTCTAACAGCCAATAAACAGTTTAGTCATGATATTTGGTGGGGTTTTGTGTTCTGCCTGCGAGATGTGGTCAATCGTGGATGCTGAGAGCATCCCTTATAATTACAACTGCAGGAAGTGTACCCAGCTTCAATTGCTCACTGAATGAGTGGATCAGCTTCAAAGGCAGTTGGAGACAGTATGGAACAGACAAATGGTGGAGAGCTTCATAGAAAAGAAGTTATAGAAGTATGGTCACACCCAAGGTACAGAAGATGGATGGGTGACTGCTAGATGGGACAGGTAGTCACTGCAGGAGTCCTCTGCAGCTGTTTCCCTGTCAAACAAGTATTTTGTTTTGGACAACACAGTGTGGAGCTGGAGGAGCACAGCGGGCCATGCAGCATCAGAGGAGCAGGAAAGTTGATGTTTTAGGTCAGGACCCTTCCTCAGAAATGGGCTGTTTTGGATACTGATGAGGGGGTTGGCCCATCAGGAGACAGCAGCAGCAGCCAGAGAATGGCACCAGAGGGGAGGGACAAAGCGTAGCAGAGTAATAGTAATTGGAGATTTGATAGTCACAGGCACAGCTAGGCGCTTCTGTGGCTGTGAGAGAGACTCCAGGATGGTGTGTTGCCTCCCTGGTGCCAACGTCATGGATTATCTCTGAGCTGGTACAGGAC